AAGAGGAGGAGGGAGAGAGGTGTTCAGATGCAGATAAGATTATAACACTAGTAAGAGGAAGTTGAGCCAGTTGTTGTTTGTTTCTTTTGGGAAAGAACCAGCCAAATCAACAGCTGAAGGTGGGGGGGGGAGTTGGTTGGTGAGTAGAGATTTTTTTTTTTTATATTTAGCCATGAAGTAACTTTATTTTTTTTTTTATTTTTTATTTTTGTACAAATAGTTTATTGTCAAATTAGTTTCCACATAACACTCAGTGCTCATCCCCACAAGTGTCCTCCTCCATGCCCATCCCTCCTCCCCCCCACATCCATCAGTCCTCAGTTTTTGTCAGGATTCAAGAGTCTCTCATGGTTTGCCTCTCTCCCTTTCCCCCACCATTTCCCCCCTTCTTCTCCCCCTTGTTCCTTAGTTAAGTTCCTCCTAATCCTCCTATATGTGCAAACATACGATATTTGTCCTTCTCTGCCTGACTTATTTCGCTCAGCATGACACCCTCAAGGTCCATCCATGTTGCTACACATGGCCAGATTTCATTGTTTCTCATTGCCATGTAGTATTCCATATTATAGAATAAACCACATCTTTTTGATCCATTCGTCCAATGATGGACACTTAGTCTCTTTCCATGTTTTAGCTATTGTGGAGAGTGCTACTATGAACATTGGGGTACATGTGCTCCTATGCCTCAGCATTTCTGTATCCCTTGGGTAAATTCCTAGCAGTGCTATTGCTGGGTCATAAGGGAGTTCTATTGTTAGTTTCCTGAGGAACCTCCACACTGTTTTCCAGAGGGGCTGTACCAGTTTACATTCCCACCAACAGTGTAGGAGGGTGCCCGTTTCTCCACATCCTCGCCAGCATCTAGAGTTCTCTGATTTGCTCATTTTAGCCACTCTGACTGGCGTGAGGTGGTATCTCAGTGTGGTTTTGATTTGTATTTCCCTGATGAGGAGGGATGCTGAGCATCGTTTCATGTGTCTGTTGGCCATCTGGATGTCCTCTTTGGAGAAGTGTCTGTTCATGTCTTCTGCCCATTTCTTCACTGGGTTGTTTGTTTTTCGGGCGTGTAGTTTGGTGAGTTCCTTATAGATTCTGGATATTAACCCTTTATCTGATATGTCATTTGCAACTATCTTTTCCCATTCCGTTGGTTGCCTATTAATTTTCTGGGTTGTTTCCTTGGCTGTGCAGAAGCTTTTAATCTTGATGAGGTCCCAACAGTTTATTTTTGCTCTTGATTCCCTTGCTTTTGGGGATGTGTCAAGTAAGAAGTTGCTGCGGTGGAGGTCAAGGAGGTTGTTTCCTGCTTTCTCCTCTAGGGTGTTGATAGTTTCCTGTCTCACGTTCAGGTCCTTTATCCATTTTGAGTTGATTTTTGTGCATGGTGTGAGAAAATGATCTAGTTTCATTCTTCTGCATGTTGCTGTCCAGTTCTCCCAACACCATCTGTTAAAAAGGCTGTCTTTTTTCCATTGGATATTCTTTCCTGCTTTGTCAAAGATCAGTTGGCTGTATACTTTTGGGTCCACTTCTGAGTTCTCAATTCTGTTCCATTGGTCTATGTGTCTGTTTTTGTGCCAATACCATACTGTCTTGAGGATGACAGCTTTGTAGTAGAGGCTGAAGTCTGGGATGGTGATACCTCCCGTTTTGGTTTTATTTTTCAGTATTACTTTGGCTATTCGGGGTCTTTTGTGGTTCCATACAAATTTTTGGATAGTTTGTTCTAGTTTTGAGAAGTATGCTGGTGCAATTTTGATTGGAATTGCATTGAATGTGTAGAGTGCTTTAGGTAGTAATGACATCTTAACTATATTTATTCTTCCTATCCATGAGCATGGAATGTTTTTCCATTTCTTTGTGTCTTCTTCAATTTCCTTCATAAGTTTTCTATAGTTTTCATCATACAGATCTCTTGTATCCTTGGTTAGGTTTATTCCGAGGTATTTTATGGTTTTTTGTGCAATTGTGAATGGGATCAGTTTCTTGATTTCTCTTTCTGTTGCTTCATTATTGGTGTATAAAAATGCAACCGATTTCTGTACGTTGATTTTGTACCCTGCAACTTGGCTGAATTCTTGGATCAGTTCTAGTAGGCTTCTGGTGGAGTCTGTCGGGTTTTCTATGTAGAGTATCATGTCATCTGCGAAGAGTGAAAGTTTGACTTCCTCTTTGCCAATTCTGATGCCTTTGATTTCCTTTTGTTGTCTGATGGCTGATGCTAGGACTTCCAGCACTATGTTAAACAACAGTGGTGAGAGTGGACATCCCTGTCGTGTTCCTGATCTCAGGGGGAAAGCTCTCAGTTTTTCCCCGTTGAGGATGATGTTAGCTGAAGGCTTCTCATAGATGGCTTTGATGATGTTTAAGTAGGTTCCTTCTATCCCAACTTTCTCGAGAGTCTTTATTAAGAAGGGATGCTGTATTTTGTCAAATGCTTTTTCTGCATCTATTGACAGGATCATATGGTTTTTATCTTTTCTTTTATTGATATGATGGATCACATTGATTGATTTGCGAATGTTGAACCAGCCCTGTAACCCAGGAATGAATCCCACTTGATCTTGGTGGATGATTCTTTTGATATGCTGCTGGATTCGATTTGCAAGGATCTTGTTGAGAATTTTTGCATCCGTATTCATCAAGGATATTGGCCTATAGTTCTCTTTTTTTGCTGGATCTCTGTCTGGCTTGGGAATCAGAGTGATGCTGGCTTCATAAAATGAGTCCGGGAGTTTTCCTTCGACTTCTATTTTTTGGAATAGCTTGAGAAGAATTGGGATTAATTCTGTTTTAAATGTCTGGTAGAATTCCCCAGGGAAACCATCAGGTCCAGGGCTCTTATTTGTTGGGAGATTTTTGATCACTGATTCGATTTCTTCACTCGTTATGGGTCTGTTCAGGTTTTCTATTTCTTCCCGTGTGAATTTTGGTAGTGAGTGTGTGTTTAGGAATTTGTCCATTTCTTCTAAGTTGTCCAATTTGTTGGCATATAATTTTTCATAGTATTCCCTGATAATTGCTTGTATTTCTGAGGGGTTGGTTGTAATAAGTCCATTTTCATTCATAATTTTGTCTATTTGGGTGCTCTCTCTTTTCTTTTTGATAAGCCTGGCTAGAGGTTTGTCAATTTTGTTTACTTTTTCAAAAAACCAACTCTTGGTTTCATTGATCTGTTCAATTGTTTCTTTGGTCTCTATGTTGTTTATTTCTGCTCTAATTTTTACTATTTCTCTTCTTCTACTGGGTTTAGGGCGTTCTTGTTGCTCTGCCTCTAGCTCCTTTAGGTGAGCTGTTAGATTTTGGACTTGTGCTTTTTCTAATCTCTTGAAATAGGCCTGGAGAGCAATGTACTTTCCTCTTAGGACTGCCTTGGCCGCATCCCATAGATTTTGAATTGTTGTGTTTTCATTTTCATTTGTTTCCATATATTTTTTAATTTCCTCTCTAATTGCCTGATTGGCCCATTCATTCTTTAGAAGGGTGTTCTTTAACCTCCATGTTTTTGGCGGTTTTCCAGACTTCTTCCTGTAATTGATTTCAAGTTTCAAAGCATTGTGATCTGACAGTGTGCATGGTATGATCTCTATTCTTTTATATTTATTGAGGGCTGCTTTATGTCCCAGTATGTGATCTATCTTGGAGAATGTGCCATGCGCACTTGAGAAGAAAGTAAATTCCCTGGCCTCAGGATGTAAAGTTCTAAATATATCCGTCAGATCCATCTGGTCCAATGTGTCTTTCAAGTCCATTATTTCTTTAGTGATTTTCTGTCTGGTTGACCTATCCATTGCTGTAAGCGGAGTATTAAAGTCCCCTGCTATTAGCACATTCTTATCTATAAGCTTGTTTCTGTTTGTGATTAATTGTTTTAGATATTTAGGTGCTCCCATATTCGGTGCGTAGACATTTATGATTGTTAGTTCTTCCTGATGGATGGACCCTGTAATTATTATGTAGTGCCCTTCTTCATCTCTTGTGATTGTCTTTAATTTAAAGTCCAGTTTGTCTGATATAAGTATCGCTACTCCGGCTTTCTTTTGATTTCCTGTAGCATGATATATATTTCTCCATCCCCTTACTTTTAATCTGAAGGTATCTTCCCGTCTAAAATGAGTTTCTTGTAGACAGCATATAGATGGATTTTGTTTTTTAATCCATTCTGCTACCCTATGTCTTTTGATTGGAGCATTCAGCCCATTTACATTCAGTGTTATTATTGAAATATGTGGGTTTAGAGTCTTTGTATCTTTTGTAGGGTTCATGTTTGTGGTGGTGTCTCTGGAATCTTTGTTCCTTGCAACCTTTCCTTCAGAGCATCCCCCTCAGGATTTCTTGTAGGGCTGCCTTAGTGGTGACAAATTCTTTCAATTTCTGTTTATTTGGAAAGGTTTTTATCTCTCCTTCTACTTTGAATGACAGGCTTGCTGGATAGAGGATTCTTGGCTGCATATTTTTACTGTTCATCACATTGAACATCTCCTGCCATTCCTTTCTGGCCTGCCAAGTTTCTGTAGATACGTCTGTCACCACTCTGATAGGTTTCCCTTTGTATGTGAGGGCCCTTTTCTCCCTAGCTGCTTTCAAAATTCTCTCTTTGTCCTTGTATTTTGCCATTTTTACAATGATATGTCGTGCAGAAGAACGATTCAAGTTACGTCTGAGGGGAGTCCTCTGAGCCTCCTGTATTTCAACATTTACTTCCTTCCCCAGATCGGGGAAGTTCTCTGCTATAATTTGTTCCAGGACTCCTTCAGCACCTTTCCCTCTCTCTTCCTGATGAGTAGAGATTTTAACAGATTGCTGTGGTGAGTGGGAGGAGAGCGCTAACAGGGTAACCACTAGTGTTGAGGACCCATTTGAAGTTGATGATCTTGCTTTTGAAGAATTATCAATTTGTGCTCTTGTGCAACTTTTTTTCTGGCAGTGCCTAATGTAGTGAAAGTATAAATATTATGCCCAGTGTCTTACACACCTGTTTTCTTTTTTCTTTTACAAAGCCATCAGATCAAGTCGTTGCAGTATAGTAACACAGGAGACATGATTCTTGTTGTATCTGGAAGCTCTCAGGCTAAAGTGATTGACAGAGATGGTTTTGAAGTGATGGAATGTATAAAGGGAGACCAGTATATTGTGGACATGGCGAACACCAAGGTAAGCATTAAACAGTATTTTAGTGAATTTAATTAATTCAGCCCACATTTATTAACACCTTGCTTGAGTTGCTATAATTCATCCATCCTATAAGTTAGTGTCTGGTTTTAAACAATGAATTATTTCTTGCAATTCTGTGGATTGACCAGGAAGTTCTTATGCTTTGTATAGTATCAGCTGGGGCACTAGGATGATTTTAAAGTTTAAATGCATCATTCACATGGTTTATAGTTGGTGCTCTTCCCCATGATATCTATCCTGCTCCCAGCTCTCTCCACCTCCCTACTATGTGCATGAGCAAGCATGTGTTCTCTGTCTCTCTCTCTCTCTCTCTCTCTCTTTCCACATGTCTAGTTTGGGCTTTTTCACAGTGTAGTGGACTTAGTGGAGTTTGACTTCTTGCTTGATGACTGGGTTCAATGAAGGATTAGCATGGAAACTTCAGATTTTATAAGGTCTGGCTTCAAGTCTTATGTAGCATCATAGGGCCAGTCCAAATTGGAGGAGAGGGGAGACAGACTCTACCATTTGGTGGTTGAATGACAAGATCACATTGTAAAAGATCATGTGGATGGGGAGATATGGATGCAGCCATCTTTGTAAACAACAGACCACAAACTTACTATGATGTACTAGGCTTTAGGACAAGAATGAGAGTCTCATCAACCTTTTACATAAAGATTTTAAGTGAGTTAATATTTTAAAATTACACTAAATATCAATTAACTATAGCTGCATAAATTCTATCAAACTTAATGGCTTATTTATCATTGCTAATATATCTGTGGGATGGCTAGGCTTGGCTGCATGTTAATTAGTGCTAGGTCTCTTCCATATGTTTAAGTTCCTGCTTCCACTAGCAAATTGCCTGAAGGAAACCCCAAATCTGGAAGCACATTTGAAGTCTTTGCTCATATGTCCATGGACATTCCATTGGCCACAGCAAATCACGTGACTGTCGGTAACATCAGTACACTGGAGAAATATGCCCAGGTCTTTAGTGAGAGGAACTGCAGTATCACATGCCAAAGCTGGAGGATGCAGGAGGGGTGATGGATTGGGAACAATAATGCAATTTACCACATATATATTAGTGTCAGTGGATATGATTGATGCAGAATTTTGAGCCTCAATTTTAATTTTGATTTTTACTCTTTCCTTCCCTATCTGTCCTAGTACCTTCTTCTAAACCCCTAATCATGATTTGTAACTAAATCAAATTCTTATATATATGAGATTTGATTGTCTTAAGAAAATACAGTGGATTCTCATTATTTGTTCTTTCCGTATTTGCACTCACCTATTTGCTAAAAAATTTTTATAACCCCACAATCAGTATACAGCTCTTTTATGGTCATTTGCAGATGTGCACTTGTACAGAGTGGCAAAAAAGTATTTGAAAAAGCTGATGCTCTTCTTGTTTCAGCTCTCATGTTCTAATCAAGTGTGCTTTTCGTGATCTCTGTAGTGTTGCGTTTTTCTTAGTAAGGTGCTTTTTGTTGGTGATTTTGCTGTTTAAAATGGCCCCCAACTATAGTGCTGAAGTGCTGTAGCACTGTCTGATGTTCCTAAGTGTGAGAAGTCCAAGATGTGCCTTCAAGAATACAGATGTTAGTTAAACTTCATTCAGGCACAACTTACAGTGCTCTTGGCTAGGAGTTCAATGTTTATGAATCAGAAATATATATTATTATATGGCTATCCTTAAACAAAAACATAAACAAAGTCATATATTGATTGCTTGATGAACATGTTACCAGAGACTTGCAGGAACCTAACCCTGTATTTGATAATTCAGTGTTTACAGAACGTTATAGACCATAACTACTACAACTAAGGAGAATTGACTGTAATCTACTTTACTGTGCCCTGGTTAAGCTAGTGGAATAAATAAATATACTATGTTTCAAATTGCCTTCTATTGAACCCCAGGGAAGTGCCTCTCAACTCTAATGAGGATCACAGTCTCATGCATTTTTTATGTTTAGTCTTTTTAAAGTTTATTTTATTTTTGAGAGAAAGAGAGATAGTACAAGTAGGGGAGGGGCAGAGAGAGAAGGAGACAGAGAATCCCAAGCAGGCGCCGAGCTGCCAGCCTGACATGGGGCTCGAACACACGAAATCATAAGATCATGACCTGAACCGAAACCAAGAGTTGGACACTTAATGGACTGAGCCACCTAGATGCCCCTTGACTAATTGTATTAAGTGCCCAGTATATGTTGGGGTGATTCAAACAGAATTCAAATATAATTTAAGCATACAATTATATTGTAGTGATGACTTCAGTAGTTTCTTTTTTTCTTGTATTCTATTAGAATTTCTCATTCCTCTCTCCTTAAAATCATTGTCCCTAGGATTTCACCAAAGATGATATTGTGAATGAGTGTGGTAAGGAAAGAAAGCAGATAGGGATATCGGTCCGTCTCCCTATCTTAGACTCAGTTAATTCTGCTTTTATCTGCTGTATTTGAAGCTTTTGGGAATCCAAAACTTTATAAACAACTGATTTGTGGAAATGAAACCTCCTATTTATTCTCTTTTTAGCTTGTATTTACCATAGACATTAGTTCTTAAAAAGTATGAGGAAGAGAAGTTTTTGCCAGTCTCTAAGCTCTTCTTAATTGTTTCAGTCACTCAGGGCTTCTTACCTTATAAAAAGATGAAGACTTTGTGGATTTAAGTTTTAGCTAACAAAATTCAAGAAGAAAGGAACCTGGTTAGTTCTCTTGCTGGCTCTTTCTGCAGTCTCAGACTTACAGTACATATAATAAGATAATTAGGAAAGTAGGACAGGGGTAGACAAACCAATCTATATAGAAACACAAAAAATTAAAATTAACATATTAAGTTATCAGAGTTATCTTTTACCTCCTTAGTTAAGTTTATTCCTATGTGTTTAATTGTTTTTGGTGCTCTTGTAAGTGGGATTGATTCTTTCTTTCTTTTTCAGGAAGTTCTTTGTTAGTGTATGGAAGTACTGTTGATTTTTTTGATGTTAATTTTGTGTCCTGCAACTTAACTGAATTCATTGGTTAGAGCTAAGAATTTTTTGTTGTTGAATCTTTAGGATTTTCTATATTTAGAATCATGTCATCTGCAAAGAGAGACAATTTTACCTCTTACTTTCCGATTTTGATGTATTTTCTTTTTTTATCTGATTCCTCTAGTTATGACTGCCAGTACTGTCTTGAATAAGAGTGATGATGAGAGTGGGCACCATTGTCCCTTGTTCCTGATCTTAGATGAAGAGCTTTTAACCTTTCACCATTGAGTATGATTTTAGCTGTCAGCTTGTTATGTATGGCCTTTATTATGTTGAGATTGATTCCTTCTGTGTCTAATCACAAATCTGATAAGGGGTTAATATCCAAATTTTGTAAAGAACTCAGACAGCTCAATAGCAAGAACAAAAGAAAATGAACTCAATTAAAAAATGGGCAAAGGAGGGGCGCCTGGGTGGCTTAGTCGGTTAAGCGTCCGACTTTCGCTTAGGTCGTGATCTCGCGGTTCATGGGTTCGAGCCCCGCGTCGGGCTCTGTGCTGGCTGCCAGCTCAGAGCCTGGAGCCTGTTTCAGTCTGTGACTCCCTCTCTCTCTGACCCTCCCCTGCTCACGCTGTCTCTCTCTCTCTCTCTCCTAGAAATAAATAAAACATTAAAAAAAAAATGGGCAAAGGACCTGAATAGATATTTTCTGAGGAAGATGTACTAAAGGCCAACAAGTACATGAAAAGATGCTCAATATGACTTTAGGGAAATGCAAATTAAAACCACAGTGAAATATCACCTCATGCCTGTTAGAATGGCCATTATCAAAAAGACAAGAGATAACAAATGCTGGTGTAGACGAAGAGAAAAGGGAAACCTTGCAGTGTTGGTGGGATTGTAATTGGGGTAGCCATTGTGGAAAACAGTATAGAAGATTCTCAAAAAAAGTTAAAACTAGAACTACCATATGATCTGGCAATTTTTCTTTTGGGTATATATCCAAAGGAAATAAAAACATGAGTTTGAAAAGATATCTGCTCCTCTATGTTCATAGCAGTGTCATTTGCAATAACCAATACATGGAAACAACCTGTGTCTATCGATGGATAAATGGATAAAAAGTTGTGGTATAATACACACACACACATATGGGGTGGAATATTATTCAGCCATAAAAGATGAGGAAATGCTACCGTTTACAACGGCATGGATGGAACTTGAGGCGTTATGCTAAATGAAATAAACCAGACGGGTAGAGAAATACTGTATGATCTCACTTAAATGTGGAATGTAAAAAACACCACCACCCCCCTCCCCCCCAACAAAGACCACAGACTCACAGGAAAGGACATCATACATGTGGTTACCAGAGGCTGAAGGTGAGGGATGAGGGAATTGGAAGAGGGAAGTCAAAAGGTACAAATTCATAGTTATATGATAAATAAGTACTAGGGTTATAATTAGGGGTGTAATAATGTACAACATTATGAATATAATACTGGATGATATATAGGAAAGTTGTTATGAAAGTAAATCCAAAGAGTTCTCATCACAAGGAGAACTCTTTTTTTTTTTTCTTCTTTATATTGTATATGTATGAGATGAGGGATGTTGGCTGAACCTATTGTGATAATTGTTCCATAATATATGTAAATCATATTATCATGCTATATGCCTTAAACTTACACAGTGATGTATGTCAAGTATTTCTCAATAAAACTGGGAAAAAATTTTAGTTATTATATGTGCAAAAAAAGACTATATATTGTAACCATGTACTATAACTTATCCCACTTTGCCTAATATTTCCATTTTGATTTCAGAATCATGGTTAATATTTACTCTTTCCATTTCCTAGAAGCAAATATAATTAATTGACTATTTACTTGTCTAGGAAATGTTACTGGTATCTTAATTGCAATCTTTGGCTTGAGTAATGGGTTTTGGAAATGAAAGAATTATTGTTTGAAAGTAGTCAATTTCATGGGACACTTTTTTTTCCCTTAACTTT